ATAATATCGATATATTTTTGTCAAATTTTTATGATATCTTCAAACATATATTTTATTCAAAAATAAAAACATCATCGCTTTCTCAAAATCACATAAAGCCATATTAGAACATCGACTGAGATAAATAATAAAATGAAATATTAAAATCATGATGTATCTCACTGCATTGCACGAGTACGCTTCTAGTATATATATATATATATATATATATATATATATAAACTATAACTTTTATATTTTCTTTTCAAAAAATTTATGAAGTTTTCAATTTTATATTTTTTCCTCAAAACTACGTAAAACCGTATTATAACATCGACAAAGTCAAAGAATAAAACGAAATATTAAAATCGAGATATATCTCGCTGCATTGCACTAGTACCATTATAGTATATTATAAAGCATTTGACTAAAACTCTTAAAAACTATTTTTTATACATAAAATATTATTTATTGATACATATTACTTAAAATTCAATGTTACGAGTAAATTATGCGTAAGTACAACTTATTAAAGCTCTGTGCTTGAATTCCTGTAACTAACTACAAATAAACATAATCAAATATAATATAAACATTTAATTTTAAATATAAAAAATCTAAAAATAATATAATTAAAATAATTATTGATTTCTAACAAAATATTTAATTATTATTTTTATAAAAAAATTATATTATTAAATCAAAAATAAATTAATTCGTTATTAATCCTAAATTAAATTATAATATAAAAAATAAGAACTTTATAAAAAAATATATTATTAATCCATAAAATACCCTTAATTAATATTTTAAGTTAAAATTAGTAATTTTCTAATTTAACTTTTGATTTGTGGTTGAGATTGGATCTCACAGTTAACACAAATAAAACTATTATAGTTTGATTAGGCATATGCATATATAAGGAATGGTTCAAATGAGAACAATTATGATTTATGTAAATGAGAGAGCACTTAAAAACCAACAGTATATAAGATAACAGAAAATTGTTGATAACTACCAATTAATTTTCATTTATTCTAATAATTATTATAGGTTAATTAATCTGAGGCCAATAATTGTTCTTGCATTTTCGTAAAATAGAGTTGTCCTTTTTTGAACCCCGCCTATATATAGCGGCTATTCAAAGAAGAACTTAATAATTTGTGATGACCGTGAGATCTAATGTTAACCACAATTAGAAAATTAATAATTATGATATTTTTAACTTGAAATATTAGTTAACAACATTATAGAGATTCCAAAAATCTCCTCTCTCCGGCGAACTATATTCCCGCAAATCTTATTCCGACAAACTTTATGTGAAGACAATATACACAGTTACACACTGTTATATAGAAAATAATATTGCTAAAATAATACATACAAACGATATTCAATGTGATACACATCTGTACATACAACATGCAAATTGTGATACCCTTATAAAGCAACTAAAATAACAAAAATACACATTTAAAGCAATGAAACTAATGAAAATACATACCGTGGTACACTTTATAAAACAACGAAAATACATTTTGAACGTTATGAATGATACACTTGGATCCATAAACATTTTTAAAAGACAAAATATATTAGGCAATTAACATATTGGGTAACAAAAATTAATCAAATATTTCATTTAAAAAAATTAATTAAATCCTTTTATGAGTTGCTATAAATAAAATTACTAAATTATCTTTTTTACTTTGTTTAAGAAATATCCTTAAATATCTCAAATTAGTTGTTCACATTCGATAAAACAGTTATCACAAATTACACAATTCTCATTTGATTAGGCCTCTCTCTTTGTGTGTGTGTGTGTGTGTGTGTGTATATATATATATATATATATATATATATAAAGAGAGAGAGAGAAGGGGGGGGGGGAAACGATCAAATGCAAACCACCCATATTTGTACAAAGCATGCAAACCACCCTAACCTGTCAGTTTCATTGTTTAATTTTATTAAATTTTTTCATGAAATTGTTTCATATAATATTTTTTTTGATGAAGTTGTTTCATATATGGTTATGAAAATATTTCCTATAATTTATGAAATTTTAATGACACTGTTTAATGTATTTCTCTAAAATTAATATAATGAAGACGATAATATCCATTATTAACACTCTCCACAATAAAAATGAGTAATCAATCTCTCATAATTACAAAATAACGAACAAAATGAAAAATTATGATTGGTTGAATAAAGTTTGTATGATAAATTTGTGATAATCTTTAGAACTTGTACATCATGTTTTATGTCATATGATTTATTTTCCATCTAAGAATAAGATTTAGAATATTAATTAAAATATATTTGTTTCACATATTCGATTCAAAGTGTGAACCCTCTTGACATGAAAAACAAAATATACACATAAATGTGAACCAAATACACACACACACACACACACATATATATATAATAAACACATTATGAAACAAATATATATTAATTAATACTAAAAGAGTACTTGCGCAATGCAGCAAAACACATATCGGTTTTAATGTTCTATTTTATTATTTGTCTCTGTCGATGTTATAATACGATTTTATGTGTTTTTAAGAAAGCATTAATAATATTATTTTTGAATAAAATATAAATTTGAAGATATCATAAAAAAATTTAAAAAAATATATCAATGTTAATATCAAATCAACTATTTAAAAGTTATCCATTTTATGTAATTTCTATAATTAATTTTTTATTATAATTTAATTTAAGTTTAATGACGAAATAATTTATTTTTGGTTTAATAATATAAACATTTTAATAGATAATAATTAAGTATTTCGTTAGAACTCAATGATTATCCTAATTATATTTTAGATTTTTTATATTTAAAATGATATGTTTATCATGTATTTGATTATGTTTATTTACAGTTAGTTACACAAATTCAAATACGAAGCTTTAATAAGTTGTAGTTATACATATTTTACTTGTAACTTATATTTTAAGTAATATGCATCAATAAACAATACTTCATGCATAAAAAATGGTTTTTAAAAGTTTTTATCAAATATTTTATAATATAGTATAAATATTTAACTTAGAAAAAGTTTTAAATGATTAAACCCGTGGATATCGTAAAAGAGTAGCAGAAGAAATGGGTTGAGATAGATGTTTAACCAACCTTACAAGGTTACTGAGCCTACAATAATTTAGGCCCAAGTTAACAGAACCCAGTTAAAACCCAAGTTAAAAAAAGCGTAGCTAACATATATGGCCAGGAACGCAGGGTCTTCTCCCACATCGGCCATTGTTGCAGTACGGAATGTGTTTATATTATGAAGAAACGGAGGTGAGGACACGACCTTACTTGAACAGGATCTGTTCTATAGGCTCGTACCTCTGTATTCTTGATTCCTAAGAAGACAGAAACCCATATCTGGTTGATGAGCTACGACCATGTAACCAGAGCGTGATTAACAGATAACCATGGTCTCGACCATGACTCAGTAGATGATCGTTGCCACCCCCATCTGATGGGTTCTGGCATGGTTACATGGTTGTCTGACAGATAACTATTACCTTTTTCTTCTTTTTCATCTCGTTTATGCTTGCATAGCAAGTGCTCGACGAAATGCCTGAATGAGGTTATGTGTCTCCTACAGGTATGATTCATCTTTACTATAATCGTAGACAAAACAAATCAGACTCAAGTAACCAAAGTTCTTTTTACCTTTCTATCTCTCAGCAGTTTGTTGAAGAGAAAAAAAAAACAAGCCACTTGTTTCAGACTTGAACATTGATTCACCAATAAAATACATAGCGGTGATAACTTAAGTAACCAAAAGATTTGCGGTAAGTAAGCCTAAAAGAATAGCTCATAAGTAGGGGTGGTGTTAACAGATTACCAGGTTAGAGCTCCCCTCAAACTCAGAATAACTTTTTAGCAGTACTGCAAACGTGTAATTAGGATTTCTAATCAGTCAAACCCCACTAGGCTACTTGGCTTTGCAAATGTTCTTAGGAAGTCTATATTATTTGTACCTAGACGAGCTTCATAAGCTTCTAACTATGCAAACCACAATGTTTGTGATGCATATATTCGCCTTCAATCTTTTCTCCAGGGAGAAAGAGGTAGGCATGATGGGTGAAGGATACATGTGGATTATAACCAGTAAAGACTACAAGCTTCCTGGATTCCTTGGATGTTGAAGCTATCAAGTTGAAGCAGGGGGCAGTGGGTAGGGAGCTTCATGATTTTGAGTTGAATTGGAGAAAGGAATATGCTGCTTTAAACCCTTTTGTGGAGTTTAAGGAGGTGGATCCTAATGGTATATGGGCATATGATGCAGTTTGTGCACCAACAATGGGTGTTGAAAGGGTACAAACGAATTAGCTTCAAAAGATTTGACCACCATTAGTAATAGTGGCACATCTCGAATGGGTGCAACACGTCTCAATGAGATGTTATTAGTTGAGTTTAATGGTGTAGGTGGTGAATTCAACTTATGAAATTCACAATTTCGATCAGTGATCTGGGCATTGGCACACTAGCACGAAATGCCAAAAAAGACGTGGATCTGCGAAAATGAAGAATTTCCAGACAACAAATTGGACCAACTCTATGGTTTGTCTTTTCAATCCTTGTTTATGCTCACAGTAAGCTCTCTAACTCTAATCTCAATTTACTTGGAGATTTGATCTTTATTGGCACCAATGTTCCTATTCACATTTGTTACATATACCCACAAAACTTATATTATATTATATTATAAAATATTTAACTCTTGCTTTAAAAACTTTAAATCTTAAAGGAGGACAAATGTTAAACATATTAACTAGGGGTGCTCAAAAACCCGACCAACCCAACGCGAAATAACCCAACCGGAAGCAACCGATGTCTAATCGAGTTGTAAAATTGTCAAACCGTAGGTATTGGGTTACTATTATTTGAACTCAACTCAACCCGATGAACCCGATATCTTTTTATTTCTTGGATTTAATATGATTGTTGAATTTCTATTAGTATGTACATTAGACAATTATACTATCATGTATGCTTTTCATATACACATATTTTCAATCTATTCATATCTTTATATAACTCATTCATATAAATGTTCAGTAATTGTGAACATATATATATATATATATATGTGTAAATTGAGAAAATAAACTGAATATGATATACGTAAGAAATATGGATAAGTTGTATCAAATGATTGATGATGAAAAAGAAATTATGAATAGAGAAATAACATATTCAAGGTTAAAAGAATATTTTAATATACCAAAGTATCAACCCGACCAACCCGTACGGGTTGGGTTGGGTTGCACTTTGGTTAAGATTTTTCCAAACCGCAAGCATTGGGTTGAGTTGTTCAAATGTCTTCAACCCGATCAATCCAACCCCTGAGCACCCCTAATATTAACAATGTATATGATACCAAAAGGAATTTGGTCTAAAGGTATATGAGTTTTTGACCTCCTAGGAGATCATAGGTTTAAACCCTACAAAAAGTGAAAGAGAGTGTATGAGTTTATTTGTTCAGGTTTAAACCCTATAAAAAATAAAGAGGGTGTGTGAGTTTATTTGTTTTATCTGTCGTATATTTATATTATATACCTAAAAAAACAATGTATATGATGTATTTTAATTTTTATAATATTCATATTTTACCTCTTTTAGAGTTTGGTAAATTTATATTACCTTTTCCATATAAACGATCATGTTTTGGGAAACTTGATCCTTTATCTGAATTTAAAAATCTAAATCTATACTATATTATAAAATATTTGATAAAAAAATTTAAAAACTATTTTTTATGCATGAAGTATTGTTTTTTTATGCATATTACTTAAAATTCAAGATTAAAAATAAATTGTGTATAAGTACAACTTATTAAAGCTCTATGTTTGAATTCGTATAACTAACTGCGAATAAACATAATCAAATATATAATAAACATCTCATTTTAAAATATAAAAAAATCTAAAATATAATTAGGATAATTATTGAGTTCTAACAATATATTTAATTATTATATTTATAAAAAAAATATTATTAAACCTAAATTAAGTTACTTCATTATGTTAAATTAAATTATAATAAAAATTTTGAATTAAAAAAACATACACAAACAAGAACTTTTAAATAGTTAATTTGATCTTAAGGGGGGTGTTTGTGATTGTTTATAAAAATAACTTATTGATTTATTCCGGTATGGCACCGGTAATAAACACTTTTGAGTGTTTGGATAAACAACTTATATCGCCAAACCGGTAATAAAGATTTTTTGAATAAGTTAAACCCTTCTAACTTATAATAAGTTGATAAAGACTTTTGTAAAAAAACATAAGTTGTTTCAAATAAGCAAACCCTAAACACCCCCTAATATTGATATATCTTTTGCAAATTTTATATGATATTTTTAAATTTATATTTTATTTAAAAATAAAAATATTATTGCTTTCTCGAAGCCAAAGAAAGTCGTATTATATCAACATTGATAAAAACAAAACAAAACATTAAAATCGAAATGTGTCTCGACGCATTGCACGAGTACCCTTCTAATTATTTTAAATATATACATATATACACATATTAAAAGATTATATAAAAAGGGAGTAGTTTATTCTTCTTAATTTGATATTCATATTCATATATTTTTCTATTTTTTTAACCTATTTTTCAAAATTTTAATCACAAGTATATTTACAAGCAAATACATCCATCAGATATTTTTACTATACTGGTGCAATGGGTAATAACGGAAATAAAGATTAATTCGTTGATTCTACGAATACCCATTAATTCAACGAATATCGAACCTTCGGTGTCAAATCTGAAATCACTGTGAACTCAAAATTTGGAAAGAAAATGGAAGTTCTTGAGTTTCCTCTACGACCATCCAAATCACACAAACAAAAGATAGGCCAAAACAAAACAGCCTTGAGAAAATACTATGAGCTGAACGTTAAAGCTCAAATGAAAAAAAAAAAAAACATAAAAGGCGTCCAAAAAGATGTACAAACAGTGTATCAAACGTTATGCACATTTAAAATGCCAAGGACAAAACCAAAAATTTTAAAATGCCTCATTTTACGTATATGGAAATCAAGCCCCAATTTTTGGATTTCAGATTGCTTCGAGTTTGGGTTGGCCGGGTTTCAGATTGAGGTCAGGTCGGGTTCGGGTTGAGTTATAATGCGCAAATTATATATATCCAATCGATATTGATGATGAATTCAATCGATAGTATGCTTAGAAATTAGAATTCAATCGGTTGAGGTCAGTCGGGTTCAGGTTGAGTTAGGATTGATAAATCGATTTTGATGAAGAATTCAGTCTAATATTTGTTTTTATTGTGTTTTCTTGTAAGTAACGGTTGTTAAGATCATTTCGGAAATTAATTAACACACAATTAGAAATTACTTAGGGGCTGTTTGGTTCATGTTGGGGAATAAAAATAAAAATGACAGGTTTCATTCCCCAGTTTAATCTGGAATGAAAATTTGGGCTTGCGGGGATTAAGCTCATTATATTATATAATACCAAATAATTTCTTTTATTTTCATTCTCATTAATTACTACTTAATACCTCTAACCAAATACTAATATGAACACTATTTTCAATCTTTTGATTTGTTAGATCATGTTTAGGATAATATGTAAAGTTAAAAGTTGGATAAATTTGCTGTTAAAAAAGGAAATTTAGAATAATTTAATCTACCATCTAAAATATATATATAACAAGTTAAATTATAGTTATATATAGGGGACTTTTTATTTAAGAAAATAATTATAAGAATCGATGCATCATGTATTATTTTATATGATTTTTTCATCTATATCTTAGATTTAGTGTATCGATTAACATGTATTCGATTTATAACATAATACAATCAAAAAGTTTCACGTTGTGAACCGAATTCATATGAAACAAACACATTTTAAAACAAATATATATTAATCAATATATTAAATTATAATAGTAGCTGAAAAAAATCATATGAAACAATACCTTAAATTTAAAGATTTTATGGATTTGAAATCCCAAATGTCCAACAAAATTCTATAAACACAGAATTTTGAAATCCCATGAGGTTAGTTGGTATTTCACGAGATTTCATAGAACTTCTATATAATAATAATAATAATTTAAAATATGTTAAAAATATTTATTTTATAATAATTAATTAATAAAAAGATAATTTAATTATTTTTATAATTATTCAAAGAAGTTTTATAATTTTTCATAAATAATGAAATTTCATTTCAAATCATACAAACCAAACTCTGAATCCTTCCACAAAATCCATTTCATCAAATCAAATGTCTCCTAATTTTTTTTCAAACAAATGCAACATTTTCATCTAAATAAGCAATTTATTTAAAATCTACTTCATATATTTATTATCATTTAAAAATTGTATTTATTAATTGAAAACCAATGCAATAAGGTATTTAACAACGGTCAAATTCAAGCTACAACATTTGGCTCTTTGTGCACTGCAGGGTTTCTGTAGGCTCTCAAGAAAATATGATCCAAGATTCAAGCATATAAAAAGTAAACAACTTCTACATTTGATTTTGATACCAAATTATAAAGAAATTATGTATTTTGCTCAACTGAAATTTTGTGATCATAACGATTTTTCGTATGATCTGAACCCGATGAGGTGGCAAACGCTTCCGTTATGATGATTCATTACCGTTACCCGGTTCTTCTTCTGTAAAACAAAGTAAACCAACAAGATTAGCAGCAATTTATACACACATGATATATATAATGAAATCACAAACGCCAAACCATCCCGGTTCGAGCCAAGATTGTATGAACCAACCCGAACCGTGAAAGCTTTGCACCAAACCAGTCAATTACAGCTGTTCCGGTTTGGTTCCATGGTTCAAAACCTTGAATCAGGCTATGAGTTATTTTCTTGATTGTAAATACAAAAGTTAATGGTTTTAGTAAATAAACAATTCAAGATTAAACCATTTAGCAAGAACCGTTTCACTTTAGCCAAATCGACTGGTTTGATTTGGTTTGTTCCGATTTGAGAGAGAGAGAGAGAGAAAAGAAAATAACCGCCATGAATGAATAGGTTACCGAATAGTGATTTGATTGTTGGCCTCTTCGGTTTGGCTTTCTTCTTTTTCAGTTCAGCTGCAGCCATGAACAGAAAAGAGGATTAGTCACCTGAGTTGGCAAAAGCACATGGACGCCTTTTTTTGGGTAAAACCTGTAACTGTGGGTGTCCGGGTCAGTTTGCACGCAACCCGACTAATTATATGGGGCCCAGAAAATAACATTTAGGAAAATTCTTGGTGGCCCTAAGAAGACTCGAACGGCCTATGTGGAGGAGCACCAAGTCTAGCTTCTATTTCTCAGTGAGCTGGCCCTCAAGGTTAACTATGGACTGTTACAAACTTAGAATAATTATATATAATGGCATTTTAGTCTTTTATGCTATTTCTCTGCTTTTGTTTGCTTTAGCTTATATCAGAAGGCTGGCTTTGTATATTGCTATCATTATTTTCAATCTTAGCATTCTCTATTGCAAGCCCTAGCTTTGTATCTTCTTTGCAGCTACTTCCCCTTTTGCATTTCTTTCAATAATCATGGTATCCAGGTAGGATTTTCTGGTGATGTGGGAATTGCATTTATTTGTTTGATTGGGCCCTGGGGGGTGGTGAAGTAGTATTTGTCTCACATGGCCATGTTGTCAATATATATATATATACACACACGGGCCGGTTGAAATAAAAAGATTAAATATCGTGAGAAGAGAGGTTCATATGTGAATACATTGAAAAAATCCGAACAAAATCTATTTGAAGATGCATATCTGTTACAGATTATTCAGATGGGTTCACATATGCATCTTCAAATGAATCTTTTCAAAGATTCACATATTAACCTTTCCTTCTTACCTTCTCAGACCATCTCCAACAATCTCCAACAACTATACCATAATTTTTCTAAAATAAAGTATCAGAAGTTAAAATCTCTAAAAAAATTACATCTAATTCCAACAGCTACTCCATTTTAGCAATTCTACCATTAATTATATTATTAAAACATTCAATACATTTAATAAAATATTATTTTTCTCCTAAACACTTATTATCAATGTCTCCTATTGGTGAGAAAGAATTAAATACTGTTTCTCTCTCTTAAATATGGAATTTTAGAGATTCTCCAAATTTGGAGAATTCTATCATCTCTCTTCTTTTCTCTTATTTAGCAGACGATATAACATAGATGTTGTAGCAAATATATACTCTAAATCTTCAAAATCTCTAAATTTAGCATAGTTGTTGGAGATGCTCTCACAATGTTTAGCCTCCTTATTTGGACCTCTCACTATATATATACATATATGTGTGTGTGTGGTTTGGGCACCCTAATCCTTTGAGCTAGCTTTTGAGATTGAGTTCTATCCAAACCCATTTATCATTTACTAATGTTGCTTTTGGTCCTCAAGGTTTCCACTTTCTCATTGTTGACGAGTAATTTAGGCATAAAACTGATGATGGTCTCTAGCCCTTTCTAACACTTCAATTGAACTCCATATAAAAGCAATTCTTGGAAATTTCTAACAGAAAGGGGATGTCAAACAGAAAAACAAGTTTAATGCATAACCTTCGACATTTTTTTCTCGATAATAATAATGGCATGCAACAGTCAAGACTTTAATCTACATAATAATTGGATTATAAGTGTATGATGAGAGATAGAGAAAGAGAGAGATACCCATTCCGGGAACTTGATAATCATTAACGATCTCAAAGTTCTTGTATGTGTAGCCAACAAAGTTAATATCCTTGGACGAAAGCATCTGCAGATGTGAGGAAATCGTCAAACGCGTTAATTAATACTGCAAGTAATAAACTGAAGCAAGCATCCACATAAAGAATGAGAGTTCATCTTTGATTGATAATATTACATGTGAAAAAAACATGGGAAGCAGTTTCTGCACAATATTCCGGTTATGCACCCGATGAGCATATTTTGTAAACAACTACTTCAGGTGAGCTTTGAGTGACTGCCATAACTATTTTGCAGCAACTGCTCACCATTTACTCACTCGTAACATTTAAGGAAAAAACAACCGAGATTGTAACAGTTGTTTTGATTAAGACAGAAAATTTACCCTTCTCCATGGTCCAGATCTTGGTGAAGTCTTAATTTGGTGTTCAGACTGAAACATGCAAAAAAAACCAAGTACAGTAAGCCACTTCATGCCCGCAACCAAGTTAGATGGATAGAAACGGGTCAGGTTCAGGGTAAAACCGCAAAAAAAATGAAAATCTAAGGAACGCTCTAGTAACCATTCATCTGTATGGTATACATATGTGCAAACAAGTAATTTGCAAGTATTTTTTTTTTTTTTGATTAACCTAGATATCCAACCCGCTATGCGAGCCGACTAATCCCAGGGTGACCACCTGCTTTGCAGGTATCCCAGAGTCACCGCATTTGCAAGTAATTTTTCCAGTATGCACATGTGCATAACATGCAAACATGCATAAAAACCAGAAAACATCTTCAATTACATGTATACACATGTGCATACTGTACAGATGAATGATTAGGGTGTTAGTTTTTTATTTTTTTTGGGGGTCTTCCCCTTAACCTCACTCTCTCTCTCTCTCTCTCTCTCTCTCTCTCTCTCTCTATATATATATATATATATATATATATATAAACGATAAAAAGAAAATACCTCTTCAAACTTTTCGAAATTTTGAGTATCTAATTCATCTTTAACTTCTGGAATGAACGCGGCTTCCATTTGATATATTCTGTCCCAATCAATACCTTTAAACCAGGGATGAGCCTGAAACGTAATAAAACATCAGAGTCGTGTTATTTGAAATTATTTTCTTGAATAATTTATGAACTTAGAATAGGACACACCGTACAACACCTTTATTTCATCTGCGCCTTTTGAACCGAGCCTGCAGTTGACATTACAGAGCAGTTTGCTGATAAGATCCTTTGCTTCTGAAGAAAGGTGTGCTTCTTGAGGGAACTTCAAATGTGATTTCCAATGTACTATCTACAAATTTAACAAAATTAAAATTTGTAAGCTAATATGTGTATGCACATGACAAAAGAAGATACAATAGGGATTTTTGTATGGTTTTGACATATAAAGTTTTACGAAACTATATTACCATTTCCTCCATGAAGATCACAATCAATTTTATCATTAAATATCTTAAATTCTTGTTTTTTAGGAGAAATTTACAATGAACCATGTTATATTTGATAGAGCCCTATTAATGAGCATAGTTCAGTAAATTTTATATCTTATCCAGAAAAATAAACTACCATCATTAGATATAAAGAAAAACTGGGTGATCCCAAGACAAACCTCACAAGAAAAAGTACGTTGAATTTCTTTTAGATAAGTTATCAATTTAACAAGAAAAAGACGTTGAATTTCTTTTAGGTAAGTTATCAATTTAACAAGAAAAAGAGTGTAAGTACTCTTAAAAAGGTTAAAAAGTAATTGGCGCATTTTTTTTGGAAAGGGGATGGAACCCCCGGGAAAAACTTTATTAATAAAACAAAAAATGACTTACAAAATTAAATGGGTATACCCATTTCTACAAGGAAAGAACACATCCCAAGGAAATGTCATCTAGCTCATTTAAGTTGGGATGAATGGAGCACGCATAAAACTATGCAGGTAGATGAGGAAAACAACATGTTGAAAGAAATTTAATAGTATTGCGAAAAAAGGCTCATGTTTTCTCGATCAAAATTCACAAATGATTGATATAAAAGTAACTTAAACGACATACCTTCCTGCAAGTTGACATTGGATCATCGGAGTAGAAAGGTGGATATCCCACGAGCATTTCGTACATAATAGCACCAAGAGACCACCTGAAGAAGAATAACAATCACATAATCATTTGAATGGAAGCAAGTCAGTGTGTAAAGCATACCTTATTTTCTACAAGAAAACTATATATTTCATCTACATTATGTCATAATTGTTGTCCCTAACAAACTGCAGCCATGGGGGAAAACGACAAACATAATTAAATTTTATGTTGAGGATGGAATGGAAACATTTCTGAAAGCACGTAACGACCCCATAAAGAAATACTAACAGACTACTTACCAATCGCATTCTAACGAATAACCTTTCTTCAGTAGAACTTCTGGAGCAATATAATCAGGAGTCCCAACAGTTGAATAAGCCTACAATTCCCCAATTAAGAATTTAGTAGAAAGAATCAGCAAAAAGAACCTATCTACCAATCATGATATGAAACAGATAGGAGGTTAAATTCACTGTCAACAAAATTAAGACTCGGTGAATGTAAATCTCAATGTCAAAATGACAATGACAGACAATTTTGTTTAAGAAGTTGACAAGGGGAGCATACATCCAGTAAACATCTCATTATCTTGAAACCAATTGAAACCAAGGACCAGACAGGAAAATCTGTCATACAAAACAGCAAAGCCTTTGTCGTTCCGTAGTGCTAAATGCCATTTCATAGATGCTGACTGACAAAGAATGTTAAAATGTTTGATAACCGGAAGAATCATTTCAATATGTGTTATCAACAATATACTGCTGTTATAGAAAAGGAATTATCTGATTTGGTGTAGCGATGGGTAGGACACTTTGATATATTAGTTATGGATTTTTTGCCCAAATCTTTCTAATAACAGATCTCTAGAGAGTAAGATTCTGATGTAAATCTTGTTCATTAAATGGTATTAAATGCATAACAATGTGCCAGACTATTGTGCCTCAGAAGCCGTAGCCCTAATAAGTTAAGAGTGCTCAATAAGCACTAATAAAAAGCGTCTACGGGCCTGTTTGTTAACAGCTTAATGAGCTTAATGGGACTCACAGCTTATTCAGTCAGCTACACATGATTGTTTGGTAGTGGCTCAACGATATAGGAAGTGGCTTATTCGGTAAACTTCTAGGGAGCTTTATGCAGAAAGCCAAGTTTTTTCCCGATTAAAAAACATGCTCATTCCATCTATGAAAAAACCCTCCCGAACAAAAACCTTCCCAATCTATTAGACATATTAATCCACAAGATAGCTTTTAAGATACTTACAAGCGTCCTCCTATTTTTCTGCCAATGCTGCAGTTGTTCTTGTTGTGTGCGTTTTGGAGCAGCGGAATTCCCTTCAACTGTTGAATTGGAGACATTATCAACTGTCGAGAAATCATGATCCTCCAGTGTGCTACAATCTAAAGGTTTACACAATCCGAAATCCGATAATCTCAAATGACCATATCTATCAAGTAGCAAATTATCAGGTTTGATGTCTCTGTTACAATCCGATATAACAAAAGAAGTCAGATATATTACGTGATGAAAACAGAACGAAGTACATTAAACATATCAAACCAATTATAGCATACCTATGTACGTAATTATGTTTGTGGATGGATTCAATGGCTAAAACTGTTTCGGCAACGTAAAATCTGGCTTCATCGTCACTTAAGGTATCTTTTCTCATAAGCAGGGTCATCATGTCTCCACCAGGTAGATATTCCATTATGAGATATAGATATTCGTTATCTTGGAAAGAACAATATAGCTTGACGATGCAATTGCTATCAACCTCAGCAAGTAGATTCCTTTCAGCTTTCACATGCTCAACCTAAAACGGATTCAAAAACTAAGTACATATGGTAAATAAATGAAGCAAAAACATCATCTCGTTTTACAAAATCACATACTTGACCTCTACGTAGCATTTCTGATTTCTTAAGCTTTTTCATGGCGTATACAGTTCCTGTTGTCTTCTCCCTGCATATTCTGACCTACAACATAGGATATTCGTTAAATTGTTTCGATGCCAAAAAAAAAACATATGTGATGAGATATCAAATCTGGATATAATATGTGCAACAAAATTTGAAGTCTAGCTCCTCCAATATATTGTGATTCACAAATTCAAATTCAAGTGTAATGAATCATAATCCACGAGAAAGTTAAACGGGTAAAATCTTGGGAAAGAAGTTATCGTCCGGCACAGCGTAAAAAGACGAAAAAGAAGAAGATTTTCTTCTAAATCAGTTGCAATACTATTTGCTTTCAACCAATGTCATTATACATAGTTTTAATCTGTTATTTAGAAATATATTGAGTAACAGAACACAACAAAAAATACAACAAAAGAAATTCAAAACCAGAAAGACAAAAGAGAGCAACCAATAGCACTACAACGAAAACAGAAAAAATCAGGCAAAGGGTTTAGCAGCCAAACTGGTTTGACAAAAGAGAGCAACCATTACCTCACCAAATGCACCCTTTCCAATCATTGTGAGCAACTCAAAATCGTCAGCCCCCATTTTGTGTCTTTGAAGGCGCATGTATTCAGTTTCCTTCTTCTCTAAAAATCTAAGCAAGTTGTTTTGATCTTCCTCAGAAACGTCACCATCAGCCAATTTTTTCTCAAGTAAGATTCGCCTATCCAGTAAAAAATCAGATGTTACTTCTTTTCTAGGTCCAATGGATTACTATTCTTCATTCATGCAGAGGTTAAAACATATAACTTTGAAGCTTCTTCAAGAAAAAGTCAAAAAACTTCTTTTCCTTGTCTTTTTTGTTTGCATTCATTTCCTACCAACAAAAATATGCTAAAAAACTGTTCATATTCCTGATATATTATGAACCAGACTGATTTATTTTTATGAGCTACAGTAATTAACTAAAATATTAACCACAAGGGTTGTGGCGTAGTGGTTGAGGTCCTGCGGAATGTGGTAGAATATCCTATTTGCTCAGGGTTTTATTCCGGGCATACACAATAACTGTGGCCACTGAGTTTATCAGGGCTGATTTATTGCAATCACAATTTTCCGGGATTAATCCAGGCATTGCCTGGCACACCCTTCCAAAAAAATTAACCAAAATATTAGCAACCACCATGCATCGAAGAAAATTGTTGATCCCCATATTGAGTCTCCAATTTTTTTGTTTGGTGCAATTTGCTACTGTGTGCTTGTAACAAATATCAAAACGAGTATAGTTTCATTAAGCATGTAACAAACCTTTCTCTCCTCTCTTGCAAATTCTTCATTTGTTCCTTGTAATGGTTTTCAATATACTTTTTCGCTGCTTCGACCTTCTGCTTTGTTATATTTGAGGCCTCTTCATCCATCACTGGGTTATTTAAATCTTCATCATCAACCGTTGAATCCTTCTTTCCTGTGCTTGGCCTCAATCGTTCTCTTGGCTGAAACTTATGCAGCCAACTCCTTGCTGAATCCATCAATTGCCCTCAGCACAGGGGATTCATTGCCAACCACAAATCATAACCCTAGAAACCCAGATACAACGTGAATTCTCTACGTCCAACAGATTTCTGCAATCTCATTTACAATACAAAATTTAATCGTAGCTGAACCCAACCGGAAATTGACAGAAATAGCCAATCAGTAAATAAGGTTTCACTTTTTAGCCATTTTATGTCCCAAATTCACTTTTTAGCCTATCCTTACGCAGAAGCCTTATGCAGAAAGTGGAATGCTTAAAATGGTTTTCTCATAATCCTTACGCAAAAAGTGATTTTCTGTGTAAGGACTCCATTTTTTGCGTAAGGATTCTTATTATTAACTTTCTTTGCCGAAAACCAATCCTTACGCATATGTGTATGCCTTAATGCGGAAGGATCGGCTAAAAGGTGAATTTGGGACGGAAAATGGCTAAAAGGTGAATTTGGGACAGAAAATGGCTAAAAGGTGAAACCATGAGTCACCTTTGTTATTTATGTAAATTTCCCAAACCCAACAGCAACGGAGTTATATGTAAACATGTTTTTTCAAGATCACAACCTAACACAATTCATGAATCTTTTGTTTCAAATGAAGCACCATAATTCCTCATATAATTTCTTTCAATGATGTTCATATATAAATTTTTCAACGACCATAACAAAACATATCCCCAATTTTCACTGCCGAATTTTCTATCTTACAGAGATTACACGTAACATCACATATCAAGATTTTAAAATTACGAATCGGGAACCGAAACTTTCACACGATAAGCAATCAAATATTGAAACAAAACTCACGAATCAGAATGCTTCACGGAAGAATGTAACCTCGAAAACATCAACTTACATTGATGTACGAAAATCAATCGGAAGAAGCCAAAAAAGGACCAGGTTGATGAAATTGAATAATAGTCAATCCAAGGGCACTTCGAAATTCCTGTTCGAAAGAGACAGAAACGCAAAATTATAACGATCAATCCAGAAATTCTTCAAAAAAACCGAAGGAATACAAGATTACATATATGAAATAGATATTAGTGGATGATACATACAGAACTAATCCGCCATTTTCGTCGTTGCTTTCTCTCTCTTCGAACTCACCTCCAAAGAATTCTATCTGGCCCTCTATATATACCTTCGGTGGTGTTTTCAATCGCCTTTTTTCCTCTTTTTCACCCTCCGCTCTTTGCCTTGTTTACTTATGGAAATAGAGTAATTTACATTTTTAGTCCTTGTGTTATAATGACTTTAACATGTTAGGTTCACAATCTAAATTTTTTAATAAAATGGATCCTGTGGTTTGTCTGTTATAACGGTTTATGTTTCTAACAATGATAGTGTTAAAAAAAAGTTTCTTAAAGTTAACGAATTTTGTTTAAAAAGTACTACATATATATATATATATATATATATATATGTGTGTGTGTGTGTGTACATATTATGGTTACCCATCCATGAAACTGCATTTGTCATTGCAATCATCCAAATTGCCTTTTTTATGGACTATTTAACCATTGATTTGTAGGATCTCTTTCCATTGAATTTCACCGATGAAAATATATTCTCTAATTAAAGTCTCTTCTCTAATGAGACACGATGAATTTCAGCCAGCACAAATGCATCCCCTTCTCCCCTTTAACTTTCTTTCTAAAGCCAACACAACCCATTATTGCCCTGCCCCTTGTTCTCCTTGTGTCACTGTTGGTTGTTGCCATTTGTCGCTTACCCGTATCGTTATGTCCTCCTCCATACTCCATTTTCCACCTCCCACTCTACCATAGATCACAACCATACCTTGTCCCCATGTTTCTACTTAGTCTCAGCAAGCCATCATAATTCTAAACACTAATTATGGGGTTTGGACTGGTTGTTACAAAAATGTATGAATTACTAACTATCTTCATGGAATTCTTTTACCGGATAAGATGCCGAAAATGGACCATTGAAATTGTTTCACTCAATGTTCTATTTTGAAATATATAATATTTATATACGACAAATGCAACAAATAAACTTACATATCCTCCTCATATTTGGTGAGGTTTGAATCTCTGATCTTCTAAAATATCAAATACCGCTAAGTCAAAGACCTTTTAGTTTGTTTCACTCAATGTTATAGGGAAAGGATGGACATGTGGATGGTTTAAAGTTGATGTCTTGAAAAGATTTTTAATGTTTTAAAGGGTAACAAATGGAAACCCTGAAAATACCAAAATGTCTCTCACTCTAGCATAATCTTTCAATGTCATCAATATTATGGGTCCAATCTGTTAAAAAACCAAACCATGAGAACCAATTTGGTAAAAAATGACTTTATAGACCTAATCCATTAAAACCACTAAAACATAGGGACCGAAAATGTAATTCACTTAAAAAATAATTTTACATTTTTGGCATTTTTTTTTTTGTTGAAAAGTTAGAAACTTTTATTTATTACAAATCTTTATTTCTAGTTCACATTATTTGGAAATAATAATTATTCTTTAATGTCATGTGTTGCTCACATGAGAGCTTTTTAACTCATAGGAAAAAGTAATAAAATAATACCAATTAATTAAGAGAATATATATGGGTTAGGTTCATATGAGACCTGCATGTTTTTATGAAATGCATGAGATCATTTTTTTACACTTAAAACTTTACAAATTTTTATAGTGTTTTGCTATGAAGTTTAAAATACATGAGAACAAATTTTATATTTAAAATCAAGTTATTGATTTTCAAATAATTAAAATTCTAAAATAAGTATATTTGAAAACGGTGTAAAAATCTGTATTTTTATAATTATCATAGTTGTAAGAGCTTCTCCAACGTATTTTTTTAAATTATATTTAAAATGAATAATTAAAATTTAAAAAACTTTTTAAAAAATTGCATATAATTCCTCCGACATATTATATATTTAAAAGATTATAACATTGATTATATTATTGAATATTTTATCATAATAAAATATTATTTCTCTTTCATAAAATTTAAAATTAAGGTTTTATGTTGACAAAGACACATAAAAAAATGTTTCTCTCTCGCGGTAATTATGTTTTCCTATTTTAGAGAATCTAGAGCAAAAATTTGCCTAAAATATTTATTTTCTCCATTTTAAAATCTTTTGGAGATGTTATTGTAGCATCTCCAACAACTTTCTCGAAATGGAGATGCTGTTTGTTTACATCTTAATAGTTTTATTAAGAGGCAACATTTGAATCCTAAAAGATGAATCTTATTTGACAAAAAAAATGTTTTTAATGGTTTAAAAATCCTCTGAATGATTTTGTATTTTGAATCTCACTTAATCATTCAGCGCATTGATTTCATTCCCGAACAATTACCAAACAATCATATTTCATTTTGCACTATGCTATAAGAGCATCTTAATCATTCTGCACCAAATAATTTAACAACTGTCAAACAACCTTGAATATTTTGGGTATTTTTTTTTCTCTCCAACAGATTCTAAAAAAATAAGAAAATACAGGAGAGAAGAAAAAATTCCCTAAAAATGATAAATTAATTGTGAGAAATAATATTTTATTATTCCTACGATAAAAGTCTTTGAAATTAAATGTAAGAGAGAGAGGGAGAGAGAGAATTTTTTATTATACATTGAATATTTTAAAAATACAATTAATATTATAATCTCTAAAATGAATAATATGTTGTAGATGGATTAATACTTTTTAGAGATTTTGATTTTTGACCATATGCGTTTTAGAGAAAAACTTGAAGAACCTGTAAGAAGATGTTCTCAAAAAAATATTACATTCATCTCCAACAGATTTTTCATTTTACATATTACATTGTCAATTATATTACTGAATTATTTTCAACAGATTTTTCAACTTTTCTCTAAAATAAATACTCAAAAAATCACATATTCAAACGATTCTCCATTTTTAGAGACTATAAACAATAATTATACTATTAAAATATTCAATACATTTAATAAAAAATATTATTCATTTCCCCTACACATTTAATATCAGATATTCTTATTGATGAGAACAGTAAAATATTATTTCTCACCCATAAGTAATTCTTTTTAGGAAATTCTCCATATTTGGAGAAATTCCTTCTCTCTGATATTTTCTCCATTTTAGAGAAGGTTTGGAAAAGCTGGAAAAAAAACAGCAACTAAAATCCCAATTTTCTCTATTTTGAAGAAGTTGTTAGAGATGCAGTTATAGTTTTTAGACACATGTTGTAATTCAACTTAAATAAATACGAGCATACTGAAATTATATGATTTGTTCGTTCTTTTTTTTTCCTGATTAGATGGTTAAAACTTTATCAGTATTCGAACACCAAAGATAATAAATTGTTGAAATACAACAATTTAAGTTTATAGATATTCATATGGTTTTACTGCAAAATGTATGGTTAAACAATGCTATAATAATAAATGAAATATCTGATTTAAGATATAAAATATATTGACGATAATCTAAAATCATAAATCGCACATACGTTTGATCGTTTATTTTATAAATTTTACTAGTTATTAAATAAATAAACTTATAAAATAGAAAAAAAAAAACATTATAATATTATAATATAGGTGGATTTAAATAAAAACACAGTTATCTATACTATATTATAAAACATTTGACAAAAACTCTTAAAAATCATTTTTTATACATAAAGTACTGTTTATTGATGCATGTTACTTAAAATTCAAGATTACAGGTAAATTGTGCGTAAATACAACTTATTAAAGCTTTATTTTGAATTTGTGTAACTAACTATAGATAATCATAATCAAATACGGGATAGACATTTCATTTCAAATATAAAAAATTCAAAATATAATAAGAATAACCATTAGTTATAATAAAATATTTAAATTATTATCTTTATAAAATTATATTATTAAACGATGAATAAATTACTTCGCTATTAAATCTAAATTAAATTATAAATAAAACATTGAATTAAAGAAATTACACAAAAAATGAGAACTTTAAATGGTAAATTTGATACTATTATCGATATATATATATATATATATATATTTCAAATTTTTATGATATCTTTAAATTTATATATTATTCAAAAATAAAAACATTATCGTTTTTTTAAAACCACTAAAAACTGTATTATATGGACGAAGATAAATAATAAACCGAAACATTAAAATAGAGATATATCTCGCTATATTATGCGACCACTCTTCTAGTAATATTATAATATAAGCGGATTTAAGTAAGAACACAGTTATTTAATAGAACGTAGAAAATACTCTTATCACGCATTTAATAATATACGTCAAGGGATCTGATGACATGCGGTAACTTGACCCACAACATAGTTCGTGTCACAAGTCATTTTGTAGCTGATTTTATATCAGATGTGATCAACTACAATATTATATAAGATTGACTATAGTAAAAAGATGTTTTTGTATTTTAATTAAAAAAATACTTATCATTAATTGAAAATAGTTAAATATTGCTTAATTTAATATATTATTTTTTATATTTTCTTGAAAAGGATATCTTATAATATTTTGGGGGTTATTTTTTAATTAAAAGTTATAATCGGACGAGGCTGGCCGGCACAAGCACGTCTTGACGACGTGGAGGTGCTGCAAATTTTGAGCTATTTTATTTAAATAAGTTTTTTCATATAATAAAATCGATGCATGAAAAAAATAACGTATTTTAACTTGATTCTTATTTTGGGTAACATATTTTTAAAACTTTTATTTTGATATCTAAAATGCAAAGTTTTAAACATTTAAGTACTCGAGTAATTGGTTGAAACACTAACCGATTACCATCAGGGCCGGTCCTATGATTTTTGATGCCCTATGCGAAAAAAAATGCCCCTAAAACTATTTTTTTTAAGCCAATGAAACAACGAAATTCGCGATTTTTTAAAGAATTTAGAACCTATTTAAGCTAAGTATCTCATAATAATTAAAAAAATATACAATGGGTGGACATAAAAACCAAAACCCCGAATACAAAATATAAAATGATAGATCCTGGATTAAGATCGTATTTCCTAATTCCTTCTTTTCCGGTTTTCCTTTTTCCAAATTGAAATTAGCAAAACAAAAACTTTATTTTAATATATGAAACTTAAAAGACAAGGAAAACTATAATTAGTTTTTAACTAAAATAGTAAATTATATCCAAATTGTTGTCATAGTAAGTAAAAAGTAAAAACTCAAAAGTTACAGGTCTAATGACTACATGGCTAAGCACTTATCTGTTAGCAGCTTAATAAGTTTAATGGAACTAACAGTTTATTCCTTCAACTATGCATGACTGTTTTGTAGTGGCTTAATGATATAGAAAGTGACTTATCCAGTAAGCTTCTAGGGGGAGCTTTATATAGAAAGTCAATTTTTTTTCAAACATGTCCCTTCCAACTAAAAAAATGCTCATTACATATGTGAAAAAACTCTCTCAAACAAAAATTTTTTCAGCTTATACAAATAGATTAATTCATACAGACAACTTTAAACAAACAAAAACTTTTATAACTTTCCAACTTTTTGCAACGATGTGCATTCGGCATTCATCACTAGTAGGCCTTGGGTCTGTTTTTATAGTTAAAGCTCAGTTGTCCAATTATCGAATTATTAAACTCAAAACTAGTAATAAATGACAATTTGACCCCTTTAGGCTTTGATGCCCTGTGCGGCTGCACGGACTGGACGTGGCTAGGGTTGGCCCTGATTACCATGTTGATGTAGCGAGTGATATAACTTATCTTTTGAGTTTAAAAATAATAAATTTTTATATTGAGTTTGATACTATATCACATGCTACATCAACATGGTAGCCGATTAATATTTCAACCAGTTACCCGAGTACTTAATTGTTTAAAACTTTACTTATGAGAGAAAAATAATATTTTATTATTTAATATAATAATTTTTTTTGAAATTAAATATTTATAAAAAATAGATAATATTTTATTAATTTATTAAATATTTTAATAATATAGTTAATGTTATAACCTCTAAAGTAGAGAATTATGTTGGAGACTTGGAGTTGAACGTAATGTTTTTCTTTGAGACTTTGATTTTTTACTCTCCATTTTGGAGGAAATTTGAAGAATCTGTTGGAGATGCTTTTAAGATTTTTATTTTATTAATGTGATAACGATGTGATATAAAAAAATATATGAAAACTGATGTTTTTTTATAAGTTTTGTCGTTGTGGATGCTCTAGCAAATTTGTAACATCTTATTCCACATTTGTATAAAATCCACATATTCCATATAACATGAAATACAAAATTACACACTAATCACAATATATACAAACTGCTATATATAAAAATAGCTACAAACTTTTTGTTCACACAAAGTACATGACTTGCATATATAACAAATTATCGGATACATGCATATAATCAACTTTCAAAAATTTCACAGCTGTAAAACATTAACAATCTCTTCACATATTTCCTCCCTTTACCTTTCACATGTGTCCGACATATAATGCACATTTTTGAAAACAAAATGAGGGCTAGATCATAATTAAATCATAAGGTCTAGTGAGTAATTTTCTTGATTGTTATTACAGAATGAAAATCATCTAGACACTTTTAAAAATCCAACATTTGAATTGATAAAAAAAAATCATTACAAAAAATTGTAAATTTGTAAGAACTGATCTTAAAATATTATATAATTTTCGTTATAAAAAAACTAGAATTTAGAATATTATTTATTTCACTATCTGAAATTACTTTACGTGCAATTTTTTTTGGTTTATTATGCAAACCAAAAAAAATTACACGTATGTTTTTACTGTACAAATACAAACATGTGTAATCTATTTTGATTGCCGGAAAAAGAGATCGTGTTTAATTTTTTTAAACGTAAATATGATATAAAATATTTAAAAAAATATCTGATAGATTTTCTAAAAAGGAGATTTTAGGGATTTGGTTCAATAAATTTTTTAAAATGGAGAAATTAAAATAAATATTTAAAAAAATAAATGATTTTTTTATTTTCCATGAGAAACTATAGAATTAAATGTTTAGAAAGGATAAATAATATTTTATAAATTATATTGAATATTTTAATAATATAATTAATATTATAATATCTAAAATGAATAATTTATTGAAAATAAACATAATTTTTGTTTGAATTTAACTTTTGATTCTTCATTTGAAAAAATTCGTTAAAGATGCTCTTAAATTATGCTTTTATAATCTATTTTTTGAAATACGGAGATTTTATAAAAAACTAGCAAAAATTTAGAAAATTAAATTATATGCTCACTCAAATAATGTTAAACTTGTTACTTCTATTTGTAACCCCAGAAGAACGAATGGGTCACAATGCAGTCCTAGAACACTGCTTTCTTAGGTTTAGGAAGCTTAAAAAGAGTCTTATTCCGGAAAAACCAAATAACTCGTAAAACTGCCAGAACTATTGCCCCTAAACAAGCGGACTCCAGATTTTTTTTTTGGCCTATCCCTATCTAGATGAGCCAAAAATAAAGCTCTTATTTTTTTTTTTGTCATTATTACCTATTATAGCAAAACCACTCATCAGAGCCATTGCTAACCATTGGTCGTTAAGGCGTATTCTCAAGAAGAGCCGATGATATAGAAATACTGAACGTAAATAGAGTTAAAATTTGACTTTTTTCTTCAACCGCAAAGATAATAACCACCCAATCTAATCCGCATTGGAATTAAGCTCCAGAAAAAAAAATCATTTGCTTTTATAAATTAATCATTATTTTTTTGTGAAAATATCAAAAAATAGCTGATAAGTTAGCGGACAAATTATTAGTAAGCAATTTACCCGGTTAGCGTTTGATAAATGGCCCCCAAATTCAAATTCATCAATCGTCAAACGTTTGATCGACATTATATTTGTCAAACACCGATATCAAAACATGGGTTGGTTACCGAAGTTGTGAGAAGATGATAAGCAAACTAGAAATGCATTTCAAGCTGAAAAAAGAACATATGGTTACACACTATGGAATACATCAATGGCTGGCAATGGGGAAGATAAGATCAAGCTATAATTGTATCCTAATGTCCCTAAAGACAAAAAGAAACAACTTTACAAGTAAACAACAGATGAATGACCAACAAAAGCTTTTTATTAGTTTGTGAAAACTTACAAATTGGCAGCTTCAAAGTTGAAGATGAATTGTTTGGAGAAAGATCATCGGTAGTATGCCATGTGCCTGGATGATCTGAAAGGGGAAGAATCGAACGGAGAGGTTTTTGGAATTAGGGGTGAAGGATTGACGGGTTTCTTTTTTGGGTTTTTTGTTTCAGCCCTGAGCCACGACTCAACCACCGATAGCAGATTGGAGGAGTTTTTCATTTCGGGAAGATCTGCCAATTTCTCATACCTCTTCAACTCTCCATCTTGTATGTAAGCAAGATCCGTTGCCCATGACTCTAGGCCGTCAAATATATGGGTTGCATACACGATTGTAGCTCCTCTCTGTTACAATTGTGAACGGTACTCGAATTGTTCAAAAATTGAAGATGAAAGAAAGAAAACAGTTTCATATGTATAATCTAAGAAACTCAGACAATGTTTCATGCCGGTTAAAGTCCTGCAAAAAGGGAGAATTTTGAGGTGGTAGTCATGAGGTAGAAGTGTAACAACATAGTTGGCATATCGCGTCATTGTTAGGGTCTGTTTCTTACCAGCTTAATGAGCTTAATGGGACTCACAGCTTATTCGATCAGCTATACATGATTGTTTGGTATTGGCTTAATGATACAAAAAGTGGCTTACTCGGCAAACTTCTAGGGAGGCCAAAAAATCTCTAAACCTGCCCCTCTCAATTAAAAAACACACTTGTTCCATTTATGAAAAACCATCCCAAACAAAAACCTCTCAATCTATACAGACAGATTAATCCATACAGTCAGCTTTATTCATACAAGACTCTAATGGAAAACCAATGAAACAACCCCTTAGTTCGACTGCATAATATATTTAAAATGGAACATAGCACTATTTAATTTTAATGATAGGAGTGTGATTTATGACTTCATTTATGGGTAAAATCCATGGCAGATTAGGATGGTCGTTTATTTGTTTACGAGCCCAAGGTCACAAAAGAACTTGAGATGGTGATAGGTGAAACTTATCTAACTTACCGAATATCTTTTAGGATGTGTTTGGTATGCGGATAAAACTGGACGAGCGAGAGAGGGGCAGGCGAGTGAAAGAAATTATGGAAGGTTTTAGGGTTTAATTTTGATATGGATATTTTAGTAATTCACCAATCTTGCCTCGTCTTCCTCGTTTTTGTTCCACCTATTTTGTTAGCGATGGCACGGTTCAACACCCTCGTGTAAGCATGTACAATAACTATAGATAAAACATATGGTTTTGGTTCGCTAGAGATGTATTTGGCAAATTAAATAAAATAAATCATACCTGCTCACATTCCTCCTTGAAGAACTCCAGCAAATCCATCCTTGCAACAACATCCAGGTCGACAGTTACTTCATCTAGCAAAAGAACCTGAAGCAGAAAGATTTCCTCATCCTCAAATCGATTCCAAGATAATGCACACAGGTAGGGAACGACAAAGAAAGAAAGGCAAACATGTATTCATGAAACATATCAACGAATCCCCAGTGCCTTGAGAATAAACATACAGTAACTACTGTCTTCAGCAATGCGCGGATATTGTCTCATCAAATCTCCAAAAACTAGCTTCCTAGAAGAAGTTGTGAGCCCTAGTAGTAAAGGGAGATCAAACCACTGAAGCATGGATGTTCTAAATAAATTGTTCTATATCTGGAGTAAATGAACCAACATGTATATATATATATATATAGACGAAGGATCGTGTGAGAATAGGAGTTAAGGTGAGAAGCGTAAGAAGTGATTTGAACCCATGATCACTTTTAATCTCACCTCCACCCATTGAATTGCGCTTCTCATGGGAATTGATCCGGTGCATCTCGGTTCATCTCATTAGTGTTGATCTTCAATTAGGATTGATCCAACGCTGGAGATCCCTTCTCACCATAACTTTCATTCTCACAATAGCCCAACCCTAGATATATATATATATATATATATATATATGCTTTTGTACTTACTGGTCCATAAGTGATCTGGAACAAGAACGGACCTGAAAAGGATGAAGGAGGCCCAAGCAAATTTGTACTCTACGCCGTTGCCCATCAGACACTTTGTGCATCCGCCACTGTAGATCAATGTCCAACAGGTCAATCAACTTCTCTCTTCTTACAGGGTCAATCCCTTCAACTGTATAAAAAAAGGAAATGGAAAACAGGTTGGTGGGGGATTTAGATTAACAGTAAGATGATTACACTATGCAAGATGATATGAAAAAAATCATCACATTGATCCAAAACTTCAAGAAAATAAATTTACTGAATGTTTACAAATGCAGGTGTGTATGAAAACTTCAAGTCTAAAGAGTGGTCTAGAAGTTTTTTCCCTCCCATCAGCCATGTCAGTACTGAAAGCAAATGCACTATCATGTTTCTAAATACGTTATGACCACTGAAAGCAAATGCACTATCATGTTTCCTAAATACGTTATGATCATTGATTGGGAGTTCATGGTTCTGTGGTATGCACAAGTCAGGGCTTATAGAGCTTCAAGATAGGATGAAACTTCCAATGGTATAAGAATATATGAAATATATAGATAAATAGTAATAAGCTACAACCCACCTCCAAATATCATATGTTCCGCAGAGAAGTCTCCTTGTAGTGGCACTTCTCCCTGAATATATTTTAAAGAAAAAGGACAATAATTTACAAAGTGAATATCCATTTGGTGCATGAGAAAGCATGCTACTCATTAATATCCTAACCATGTAACTACAGGGAGACTGCATGTCCAGGAAAATAAAATATCATTCATAAAGTACATATCTAAACCTATACTAATTGTTAAACTAACATAGGGAACAGTTTAAACAAGGGGAGGGAGTGAATGAAAATTAGATGACATTTAAATAAGGCTAAGGAACTTACAGCAGAACCAATAGTTTTAGTCCATGATCCACCCAAGTAGGACAAATCACCACTACAAACTAAGTGTGTGTCGTGAAAAGATGAAAAATCTAACACCCGCACAACATTTCTCCCACCAACCATATGCTTTCCTGCCAAGATCTTCAGCAAAGTAGTTTTCCCTGCAAAGATACAGGGTGAGGGTGCTTTATTATGATAATAAAATATAAAGAGCTTTCTATAAATCAATACAAATATTTATAACGTTCAACAACCAAAGGGAAACAAGTACTTTTGTATGCATAAGAAATAGTTATAACTTATAACTTTACTGTAATGTAACTTCAAATATGCAATGGTTGTGCAAAAGATGGCCAATTAACATTTTGGGCCACAACTGACACTGATCTGAACTTGACGGCATTATAATTTACCATGGCAACTACTGTATGAACAACAATGTATTAGTCTAGCACAAACCCTGTGGTAAGTTAGATGTACGTCAGATGAAAACCATAGCCAAATATGTCAGTAGAGCCACCTTGCGATTGCAGAAAGAAGAAGGTTCCTGATGCTTAATTGTAGCGAGCTGACTTGTGGAAAGATTGACTTAACCTAAGTACCCACCTCTGACCTCCCTATACTCTCATGCTAAACTGTAAGTTATTAAGGAATTTTAACATTTTTATGATCTTCTCCTTGATGCATTTTTTTCTTGAAGTGTTTATGTTGGAGAAATGTCTTTCTTATGTTCTATATATCAAAATTTATACCTTAAGACACCTAAACATGACTAGCAAGGATGGTCTTCTTATTATATGCCTTAAAATTCTTTCACTACTACGAATAAGCACTGTAATGGTCTGTTGGAGACTTGATTTGTATCACATTACCAATCTAACAAAGAAACCACATAGACCTGAAGCTATATGCCTATATCCTTCTCCAGTTCTCTTCCAACCACTCTAGTACCCAATATCTGCCTAAGCAGTATTTTCTTTTATGGTTGTTGAAATTGTTGAATTGCAGTCTTTGATGTTTAAATTTAAAGAGCTATACTTCAGTCAGACATATTCTCGTGATTACTTCAAAATGTCAAAACCAGATCACGACATCCCATAACTCAGTTCAACGTTGATATTAAATTTTTGAACAATTAAATTCCTAAGTTAGATACAACCATAAAGCAATACCTATATTATATGCTCCAATTTTGTATCTAAAATTTTTAAAATCCAAACACGGATTGCAAATGTGCACATAAACAGTACAAACAAATTAGGGTTAAGATAATACCAGATCCATTGGCGCCAACAAGAAGACAACGAGATCGAGGAGAAATCTTGAGGTTGAAATCCACGAAGATAGGATTCTCGCCACTATACCCGAATTGCATACCATTTACTTTGATACTGCTTGATTCGACCTCCATTTTCGCCTACTTCGATGGGTTCGTCGTCTGTGTTGGGGCGCTGCGAGTATTTGTACCTTCACGGTGGTTTTGTCTCGCTTACGTGTATGCAATGTATTTGTACACGTGTTTCATTCTGATTTGACCACGATTGCAATGTTTGTTGTCACTTACGAACACCATTCGCGATGCATTTGACGGTTGGACATCTATTGTCATGAATGAAATGCCACTTTGCATTTACTATTTTGCAATATAAAGTTAATTTTAATTTAAAACTTTTTGCAATATAAAAAAAATGTCTATATCCGATAAGAAACAATAATTATTTATCACCATTTATTTAAATACTTATCCGGTAAACATTTATTTGTAAAATTTAACATTATATTTATCTCATAAAATAATATTTTAGTTCATCAAAATGACATCATATGCAACAATTTACCTGATAAAGACTAATCGGATAAGAATCACCACCCCCACTTATCGGGTGAGACTCTCAGTTTTAGCGTTAGCTCTTATAGGGTCATATTAATTAGTCATTGTTATATTCATCCGGTAAGACAATGTGATATGGTAGGAGCCACAGTTACATAGTGATAGACAATAAATGTTTAGTAAACAACTTCTGGTTATACATATTAGGTTAATTGTATAAAAATAGCAGAACATTCACAAAATCGAGAGTTGAGTGTGTGGTTCGTATCTTGATTCACTTAAAGGCTTCTCGAAAATGTAGGAATCATTTGAATTGAATTCTACAAATTAATGAATTCATCATTTTGTAGCATACGTGAATTAATTGAATTTCATCCATATCTTCCAATCTAACTAACACCGCCTACCCCTTGCCTTCACCACGACCATTATACCACTGTTACTGTTATGCCCCACCTCAACCTCTACCACCACACGACTACTATCATCATTACAATCGTCACCTATTCAACCCCCAACTTACCACTAACCACCATGCCACCATTGTCGTCATCATAACTACCACCTTACCACTCAACCCCATCCATCCCACCTTCCACCATGCTATTGCTATCGTTGACACATATACCACCCCACTATTAGTGTGGCAACGGGACTGGGACAAGGTGGGAGATGGGGTGGTGGGGGTAGGGTGGATGTCACCCAACCGCTAATACTACTGCTCTCATCATCATAGCTGCCACCCCTACCTACCCCCACCTCTGACCACCAATATCACCATGCCACTAATGTCATTGTCACAATTTTCCCACACTATGCACCTAACCTCCACCCCCAAACATGAAAGTACAATTTCTTCTATTCTCCTTTGATTGTTTATGCTAAGCCGGACTCAAGGAGGCTTCAAAGCTAGATATTCGCCTTTCATAAAAATATGAAAATTCCAATTTATTTGAGGGACTTCATTTAATTCATACCAACCAAATGCATGGTCAGATAATATTCCAATTCCGTCATAGTCAACTTTCTTTGATGGATTCTAGTTCCACCAAATTACGTTATGTAAACCAAACGCTCTCTTAAGGCTTGTTTGGGTTGTAGGATTTTGTATGATTTAGAGAAAGTTGGAATTAAATTTCATTTCAGCCTAGCGTTCGGTTTGAAGGAAAGTTTGGATTTGAAATCCCATAACCGACGAATTTAGAATTCCATTTGAGATGACTGTCATTTCAAATCCAAATCCCATATATTTTAACTAATTCCATCGCTTATATACCACGTCTTTTTCATCAACCTGCCATGATCCTTCCATCACCTCCACGTCTTACCGAAACAAATAAATCAACTATAAAACAAACAGATATTAATAAAAGACAAATTTCATTCATATATTACAAACACAAACAATTTTATAAAAGATGGTATTCATTTCCAAATCATGCAAACCAAACACACCGAATATTTCAAATCGTTCTACGAAATCAAGGTCTCTCAAAAACATTTCGTCAAGCGAAACAGGCACTTCGCCTTTTAATTTGTCTCGTTTCCGTACAATTTGTTTAACATATTGTTGGTATTTTCTTTATCCCAATTCCCATATTGTCCAAACATAATGTCACACCGACCATACAACAAAACATATCGATTGGGAAAGGGAACTAATGTTGCATTATAAGGTACTGGATGCATTATCTACTAGACGTGTCTGGAACCATGAATCCAAATGTGGATAAAACAGACGATATCTGGTGCCGTTGACATATGATGTTACAAATGGTATCAGAGTCTAGAAATAGACCGGTGTGTCAATGAGGACGTTGGGCATCCAAGGGACATCAATTGGGAAATGGAACTAAAGTTGACTTATAAGGGATTAGATACTTTCTCTACCAGACGGAGCCTTAAACACGCACCCTAAATTACTTAAGGGTTAATTCTGAAAGTTGGAAGAAACTACAGGGACTGGTTTGGGGCAAAAAATTAAGAAGTAATAAACGGTAATGCATCGGCCGTCTATGGGTCTATACCTAAACTGCATTCGGGGGTTGCACGGAGTCTGGGACGAAGACTTGCACACTCGACTGCCGTCGCATGCTCTAAAGCTCCGGTGAACTTGTCTCTCTTCGACGGCCGATTGGATTGGTAGGATCATCGTTCAATCTAAAATTTGTAGTTCTTAGATTTTCAATTTCATTTTCAGTACATTGTTTTATCTTAATACAGGCGATGGCGAGAAGTTTAGGATTTATTATTGTACTACTAGCAGTAACGTCGATCTGTGATGCCGTGGCGATCTTTCATCCGATCTCTGAATCTCACCGGTCCGCCGCATTAGAGCTGTTCTCTCCCGCCGCTGGATCGTTTTCGGGGTTGGTCTAAACGCTTCTTAAACTTGTTTTTATCATATATGTATGCGTTGATTAAGTGTAGGGTTTATCTCGTGGATTGTTTGTGTTTTTGTTAATGGATTTAAAACTTCATTGGCGATAAAATGAATACACACACACGCAGGCACTGCTCTTTATCGGATACAATTTTTGCCGAAAAAATAACAATGGCTATTTTAATTTTCACTTTGAAGTGAAACTGTGAGAATAGGTCTTGATTGGTGTTTTATCTTTTACCCATCCGCTTTTTAGTTAGTTAGTAAACAAACCCGTAGGAATACACGCTTGATTCTAGCTCTTCATCAGACAGTGTTGGAATACTTAACTGGTTTGATGTTGGCATCAGGATGAGAATTGTATAGGCTGATCACTTGCACGCTTTTCAAGCTTCAAAGTGGAATACAACATACTTATTTTGGCATAAGAAAACAGATCTGGTAGTCTGGACGATCAACGAGTCAATAAGAAAGCATGTCTTTAGAAGGGTTTTCTGTATCATGTATTTTGTCTTTTGTGAAGCAGAGTAATTGAAAGATCTTCTACCTGACCATCTATGATAGAACTCATATATGATATTCCCCAGAATTATACTGCTAGAACTTACTGGTCTAGTGTTCTCTTGAAAGAAAACCTTGTTTTCGGAGATGTTACATGCACACAACTATATGTATATGAGACATCTATAGTTTTAGCCTTTTAGGAATCATATGAGGCAGCAGGAGTCTTATCACTGCTAAATCTTGGACTATCATGGATTTCCTCTCACTTTTGGATCTTGCTCTTCTTTCTTATGATTTATATGGTTATACAAGTTGATTGGTATCACACGCTCTTGATACCTCACCTTTTTTTCTTCCTGTTGTAACAGATCAAAAATTACCCAATCTATCTCTCTTTTTTCACAGTATGTTTTCTGTCTTCGATCCAGATGTGGAAATTGCAGACCGAAGGAAAAGTTGTAGTTGCAATACCACTTAGACATCTGATTTGGTGTTCCCCATTTCAGGTTAGAAGAAGCATATGAAGCATTACGGACATTCGAGGTCCTTGGAATAGAGAAGCCTGATACAAAGGACCATACTTGTAATTCTGTGGTGGATACTCTTTCTTCATCGTCTTCAAACTTAAAGGATTTGTATCATTCGTTACGAGTTAATGGGCTATTAAAATGCAAGACCAGTAAGGAAGCTTTAACGGTATGGTAATCTTACACTATGTTTTATCCATAAATTCTAAATGCTTCTTGTTTTTATTACCTCCTACAGGTTTAAATGTTCTTATACTAAAATTTTCTTCATTAGGGCACTGTATCAAGACTTAAAGGTGGTGTCAAAGAAGCAACAACGCTTCTGGATTATTATTATTCAGTAGGAGGTTTGCTACTTGTTAAGGTAACCCGTCTTTTTGAAAAAAGTTATTAAGTCTGTGCTTAATAATGCGTCAAACCAGGACAATCTTGTCATGTCTACAAGTATCTAGAAGAAAGTTTCTTTTGACACAACAAAGTTACCATCTGTTCGGACAACTTTCGGGAAAATTAGCCTTTTCATAGCTTGATTTCTTTTTAATTTTCATGCAGGATCAGAGTTCTGAAGTTGATGTACTTCTTGGGAATGCTGATGGGATTTTACGCTCCATAAAGGTTGGTTTTACCTATATTTTGTGGTAAAGTCTAGCATTTCCCTTCTTGGAAGTAGAATTTCTACAACTGTATTGCTACTTGTGCTATGTAATGTCTTAGTTGACTTTGTAATTATTGTCAGGCTCTCAGCCAAAGTGATGGAAGGTGGCGCTATAGTTCTAACAATCCCGCGTCTAGTACTTATGCTGCAGGTAAGCTTTTTTTCGCTGAGCGAGATAATTGTTTGTAGTTCTATTGATCCGCAATATACCAAAAGATCTGGTTATTTTTACTGTACTTCTGGTCATAGTCAGCTTGGTTAGTCATCAAATCATTCTATTTGGTCTGTTACTCACTGCATGCAATAACTTGACTCAGGAGTAGCACTTGAAACCCTTTCTGGAGTTATTTCATTAGCAGCTTCTGCGATCGATGAAAATCTGGTAACTTAATTTTGCATTCTGCTTGATGTTATGTCCAAATCTGATGTCATGGCAAAACTTGAAACAAAACAACCATAGATTTTTATGCAACTCAGATTAGATGTCTACACTGCGTTTATTCTTGTTTTGAATAATGTGGTGCTCCAAGCTTTCAGTACCTTCTTCTTTAGTTATGAGCCTATTGGGATGTGTACCATTTGAAATATGCCATGCACATTTTGCATATATATCTGGATGTTCCGGTGGGTAGGTGCATGGGTTGTCAGAACTCTTGTTTGCTTTAGTCATCTGGAAGAAACTTTAATTGCTGATGTAAAAATTAGCTAATCTGCTGTTATTGCCATATACAGCAAGGTTAACGTTGCGAGGAGTCACTAATTAGTACCCCTTCCTAGATAACTACTATATGATTCTTATTTTCTACATGCACATACTGGTTGTTGAACACAAACCATACAGCGCGTTTCACGAGGGACCCTACATGGGACTTTTTTTTCTGAAGTTATGGGATTGTCCCGTAGGTTTACTAGCTGTGCTTTTCTGAGATCATTTTTAACAATTGAACTTGATGCTAATTGTGTCTTTCCCATCTTCTGTTATAGCAAACACAACTTGTCTGATGTTCATCCTCCATTTTTTACAGACTATTGCATGAAAGGCTCATGCTCTTATCTAACTATTGTGTACCTGTTTGCAGATTGGTACACTGAAAAATGATATTGTGAAGCTTTTTGACAGTATTGAGAAGTATGGTTAGTACACGAACCGTCCTAATTTTTTTTTATAAATCTATTGTCACAGTGCTGAACAATTCTATGAGATTAAACTTGTCTATACTTTATATTTTGTGCCCATTCTTCTTTGCCTTTCGTTTTTCCCACCTTCCACCCAAACATTTGTCTGACAAAATTTTATTTTATTATGTTAAGACAGTGCGTGACAAGTTCTACAGTTTCCATGCCATATCTATAATCAATCTTTGATCTTTACTTTGAAAATGTGACTTCTTTTTAAGAAAATAGAGAACATATGAAATATAACACTGTAACCTTGAGTTGCTGAGTTTTGAGACAACTAATTGTGAGATTATTAGTTCACTGAGTTGCATGTCTCTTTGTGATTGACGATGCTTGTTATGTAATACATCAGATGCATATTATTAGGCTTAATTGTTTATATGTTTGTGAAGTTACTAAAGCTTCTTGATGAAGTTATCTGCATATAATGTTGTGCTTCCTGTGTGTTTGCATCTTTTGGAGGTCTGTGTGCTCATGTTATGAATCATCATCCGGTTACAAATGGTGGCATTACCTCTGTGTATTTTTAAAATCTGATGACAAACTGATGGAAACAACCAAATCTTTTTGTGATGGGCTCATGGGCAAATAATTTTGGTATTGCTAGTTTATGAAATGTCAATTAACTTAGTTTAAGGTGTATGAATTTTGGTTATGCATCTTAATGGGTCTACTTCCAAATAGGAATAGGATATAGTGAAAGGGACGTAGGCTTCAAAAAAGAGGTTTATATGTTGCAATTTTTATGCTATAAATATGTAATCGATAGATTGTTTGTCAATAAGCAACTGAAAAAAATGAGAGTTTGGTGTGATTCTGGAGTAGTTAATAAGAGTGCCTTGGAACTTTGTGATCATGAGGGTGGATTTTCGCTTGTCTTAAAAGGTATAATTATGCTGTGCAGCATCATTCTACTGATAATTTTTTTGTATTGATGATTCATGATCTCAATGTCGTTTTTTGTAGATGATGGGGCTTATTACTTTGATGACAAGGTCATTGATGCAAGTGGACATCAAGGTCCACTTTCAGCTACCTCAGCAGTTGTTCGAGGGCTGACAACCTTTGCTTCCACTTCTGGAACTTTGAATGTGCTGTACACTGTCATTTTTTTGGCTACATGCCCACTTCTTTCTCCTGTTGTCATAATTTATTTCTAATGTGACTCAAATTTTGCAGATACCTGAGGAAAAGATTTTGGGTTTGGCAAGATTTTTTCTCGGCGTTGGAGTTCCTGGCAATAGCAAGGACTTGTATTACCAAATTGATGCTCTATCCTGCTTAGAAAACAATAGGCAAGTCTAGTTTTGTCACTGTTCGATTGTATCTCTATTCTCTAGGATTTAGCAACATTTATTTTCCTTGGCCTTTTCCTTCTATTGGATGTGAAAAAAATCAAAGGCACCATGTGTGGAATCTTGTCCGGCTCTAGACCTCCCAGCCTTTCAAAATGATGCACGTACTGCATTTATCTACACCAGAAATACATGCTTTGCTTTCTCTCAAAATAATCTCAAATCGTTTATTTGCAGGGTATCTGTTCCTCTAATTTTATCACTTCCAGCTACCGTGCTTTCATTGACCAGTAACGATAAACTTAAGGTGTGTGTTGTTTCGGTTGACATATTTCATCGTGTTGTTTGTTTTCCAAATTGTGAGTGATAAGCCCTCTAGGTTCTGAACTTTCAATTGGTACAAGGAGATGGGGAATATAAAAAAAAGAACTGTGACCATGTAGACATCTAACGGCCACTTATATTAGACAAAGTATATATATTTATCACATTTTAAAATTTGTCGTTGCAACTTGATCACTTCATATATGGGTTTGTGTTATGCTCATGTAGATAACTCTTCTAATTTGGTTACTACATTCTGCTTGTTGTGGTGCATAAACATATCTAGAAGTAATAGCATCATCAGCACAGCCAATGGTAACAAGAAATGAGAAATTAATTTCCAAAATTTCTGACCATTAAACCTTTGCCATGGTTCCAGATTGTCACCTCTCCTATGTTTTGCTTACAGGTCAGGGTGAACACCGTGCTGGGATCTATTGCTCCTCCTTTATCAGTAAAACTCATGCAAGTTTTCAGCTCCGGTTCAAAGGATGCTCCGGTCCTTAAAGAGGTCCGCTTTGAACTTGACAATTGTTGTTCATGAAATAGGGGTGTGCAAAACCTGGTCTAGACAGAAAAAACCGAAGAACTGGACCGGCTATGTTTGATTCCATTGTTGGTTTTAGATCTTCTACAACACCTGTTCTTTTGTTTGGTTCTCGCTTCAAGATTAAAAAATCCAGTTCTTAGTTCGAAACGGAACTGTTTTATTTTTGATTTTTCAAATTAAAACGAACCCAAGTATGTATTTGGTGCATGTGCATTGTTGCTGAATCGTTTATATCTGTTCGATTTTTGGTTCAATTATTTTTTATTTTTTGGCTTTAGTTTGGTTCCTGTTCTGGTTCTGTTTGGTTCCAACCTGATGCACACCTCTACAATTAAATATGTGCTATCATGTCCTTGTAATTATTCATGCTGTACTTGTGTTCCTAGCTTATTGTTATTATCTTCTTACTTCAGGAACTTAAGTTTGATCCAAAAGAAGCAATCCATACCATGGATGCTTTGCCAGAAGGTGTTGATATAGGGGAGTATGTTTTTGCTTTTGAGGTACTAAATTATTCTCTTGGTATCTCTTGACAAACACAAAATCCCTGTCATGCTTCAGTTTTGTCTTAATGTCCTCGAGAACATTTCTCTTTGCTCCCAATTAATTTCTTCTCTGCTAGATTGTGCTTTCAGATCCAGAAGATAAAAGAAAATATGCAACTGGAGGCCGAACAAAAGTGCCAATCCATGTTACAGGAGTTGTTGGAGTTGATAATGCCAAACTTACACTGCTTGAGGGTGATAGCGTAGAGTCTGAAAAGAAGTAAGTTAACTTCACGTGGATTTATTTAGAAGAAGCCCTTTTCCCTGTTTCTGATTATCCCTAACTCTTATATTGCATATTGCTTCCGATTATTTTATGCTTGATGTTTCTAAGAAGTGTTTCCAGAATCAGACTATAAAATGACAATTTATTCCTTTAGCAGGCTAGCCCATTAACTTCCAAGATAACTAAATGGGGAAGCTGTTAATAGCCTGGACTTATAAGGGACACAATTCGTATCATAATTTTATGTGGTATGGGATGCACAAACTCCCCCACTTCAATTTATGATGTCCTCGTCAACCCTACACGAAAACCATTCAGAATCCTAAAATCTGTCACCTGGAGATGCAAGAGCCTAACCCACCATGCCTGAGTTGCCTCTCCAATAACATTTGTAGCATCTGAAGCCCAAAACAATAAACTACTTGATAACCTCCAGATCAACTCAAAGCCGTGTCCGAAAGTTGTATGTAGGCCCACTACCACTCACTTATAAGACTCGTAATTCCACTCACTGATTGATGTGAGACAGATGTCACACTAATTGCCCCAGCTCTATGTAGGTTTGTTTGCATTCATGATAAATCAATTAGTATCCAACGTGCTGCTTTAGTTCCTTTTTCTTTAATGATATAGTTTTTAGCGATTATTTGATTAATACGATGTTCTCAAGGAGCATGCAATTAAACACGACACACACAAAAGTCCCTAAACCCAATTGTATGTGATTATTTGATTGTTGGGGTTTTCTCAGCCGACACACACAAGTTCCTAAACCCAATTAATATGTGTGTTAACTACTCAACAACGAAATGTGTAATACACGGATCGACAAAGGATCTGCAACATGTCATGATAAATAATAATGCAAGGCAATTAAGCAACAATGTAGCAGCACACACATATAATGAGGTCCCATGGCCTTACAACCTTGTACGCCCTACTAACGAACCCAAGATGTTCAAGTAAAGATTGCAACAAATGCCTACCAAATGATTACAAGAATCCAAATGCAAGCCAAATAATCTACTACTTTCGAAGTTGTAGATGGGAGATCATCAAAGTGTACAATTGATCTCACAAAACCAAATGAGCCCTAGAATATGATTTATCTCGTTTGTCATGTCACGCGACCTGCACACGCTCCATGAGTCGCCACCTGAGGTTGCCCGTCTCCCAAATGGCCATATCACCATATGCAACTTGGCCATGCGACCAAAGCTCGCTGGCCTAGGTTGCTTGGTCTCTTCTCCAAACAACGGTTAGTCTCTTCTTCAAATAATGAGATGCTCATGTTGCAAATAATGTACCGTAATCCGTAGCTTCCCATCTTTGTGTGCAATCACCAACTTGCAAGCTGAGCTTGCCAACTGCAGGTCCCCGTGACTTGAGCTCGTTGCGACCCATGCTTGCAGCATCAGGTTGCCAAGCCAAGTGGCCTCGCCGTGTTGAGCTTTACCAAATTTAATATGTTCATGATTTCTGGACACGGAACCTGGCATTTTCATATCTGAATCATCTCAATCTTTGATTTGTCAGGCTTAATTTACCTGGAAAGAATGATGTGGCTCTATCAGCAAACCACCTTCAAAAGTTGCATTTATCCTTTCTGTTGACAACTCCACTTGGCAAACCATTCAAGCCTCATCAGGTATCTGACCAGTTCTCAGACTGTATTTTTCTCTCTTTGCGCTGTTTAACTTATTTAAGTAATGTTCAATTGCAGGCGTTATTTAAGTTGAGACATGAAACCGGTGTTGAACATATCTTTGTTGTGGGAAACTCTGGGAAGCAGTTCAAGATAGCACTGGTCAAGTTCTTTACTTTTTTCAGTTTTTGCATATCACTGTCTTTTTACCATGTATGAGAGTTGGTAAATCTTATCACCGCAGATGGATTATATCTCATATAATGATAGTTGATTGCACTCGATTTAGAAAATGTGCTATCAAGACTCTCTCCAGTTAAATCCAAGTGTATACAAACATGATAGTTTATTTTTTCGTCACTTGATTTTTACACTGCTTTACATTCCCTTTTGCAGGATTTTCTTGGTCTTGTTGAGAAGTTTTTCTATCTCTCTGGCCAATACGATATTGAGCTGATCGTGGGTGATGCCGCCATGGTAAATGTTGCATTCTAGCAATAAATTCTGTCCATGTATTGTTGGTCATTTTCTAAGCTCAATTATGTTTTTTTTCTCCAGGAAAACTCTTTCTTACAACCGCTTGGCTATGTTGAGTTAGATCTACCTAAAGTACCGGAAAAGGCAACCCGCCCCCCTTCACAAGCTGTTGATCCTTACCTAAGATATGGGCCCAAGGCAGAGATAAACCACATTTTCCGGGTTCCAGAAAAACGTCCTCCTCAAGAGGTTTCTTTTGCTTTCTTGGGTCTCGTTTTTGTTCCATTCCTGGTGTTCTTGATTGGGGTAAGTCTTTCGTCTGTAGATCCTTTATCCTTGATATGTGTGCACACAAATCTGAACCACTTGATTTTTTTTGTCACCCAAATTATATCTGCTCTTCTTTATACATTTCTAATTAAAGAATACAAAGTGATTCATGTTGCCTGTTTATCTATGTTGTGGAGACGATCAGAGTTAAATGTCCCATTGTCATCTTCAGGTTTTAATGAGTGATTGATTTTTTGATACCATCATGCTTGCCTTTTTGTTACCAAAAAATGCAGAAGAACAAAATACACTTGGACAAAAATAAGAACATAATAAGTGTCCATGCATGAATAGGCGAGGAAATAAATTTACTTACGGGTCGTTTACCAACACATATTGGGCAAGTATGAACTGTGTAAGAGTGCAGTATGGGTAAGCGCAAACCAAAATGGTTGTTTACCAAGTATTTTGTAGTAATTGCTTACCAATAAAAACAATTTGGGCAAGCACCATCTGACTCGGTCGGTGACATATTGGTGGCTGACTCGGTCAGTCAGAAGTGTAGGGAGACAACATCATCTCTAACCGGTTAAAAGGCTCTTATCTGTAAGAGACAATCAACACTAAGGGGCTGTTTACCAAACGCTTACCTTGTCGGATAACATTCTTGGCCATCAAAATGGACTGTAGGTACGCTTTTTTTAACCTAGTAAGCGCTTACCGAGTAAGAGTCTTCTCTCTTACTTACCGGTAAGATTCTTGGTCCTTGCCATATTCACCCGGTAAGATAAGTGATACTGGTAAACGCTTACTTGGTAAGCTTTTGGTAAAGGCCCCCAAGTAAACAGTCTACTTTTTCTCTTGCCACTTTTTTTGGCTCAATATGCGTAGTATGGTTCAAAATCAGAAACCACCTATCCTTCTGGAGTTGACTAATGACTAGCCGTTCTTGGTTTTTAAAATATCCTTTTTATTGGCAGTTATTACGTCTTGGTGTGAACTTGAAGAACTTCCCTACGTCGACCGTACCTGCCACCTTTGCCATCCTTTTCCATGGTGGCATTGCAGCCGTGCTCTTGCTCTATGTGTTTTTCTGGTTGAAGGTACAACTCCAGTTTTTCTCTCTCAAATAGGGATGGAAACATGGCGAGTACTGGGTGGGTAATGCATTCCCCATCCCTGACCCCGACCCCTGTTTAAGCCCCCATCCCTGAGTAATCCCCAGCGGGTTCGGGGAACCGTTTGGTAAAAAACAATATATTTTAAGATTAAAAAATTTAATAAATCGTCGCTACATTAATTACCAATATTGAAAATCAAATATATTTATCACTTAATAATAAATGTTTATATTTATACATATGTATATTTATTTTATACACACTATATACATATATTAAATAAATAAAAAATTGTAATCGGGGTCGGATTAGGTCATTAGGTACTGGTAATGGCATCCCCCACCCCGACGACCCCATTTTGGGTATGAAAATAAATCCCCGTCCCTATCCCTTTACCCGTCAAAGCGAGGAATCCCACCTCTGTAGGGTCGGGGCCTCCCCTAGGGGTAAAATTTCCATATCTACTCTCAAATCCCATTTCTATGGCAACTCTTCTTATTAACATGTTCATTTGACAGTTGGATCTTTTCACCACATTGAAAGCTTTGGGAGTAATAGGGATCTTCTTGATGTTTGTGGGACATAGCACTCTTTCCCACATTGCTTCAGTATCAGTCAAGGTAAAATCGGCTTGAAAGGAACGACCAACCAAATTGATACCGTTTTCATGTAATTCAGTGAATCATGTTATCGTTATCGTTGGTAGATTATAGAATCAGTTATATCGGTATCCAGTTTTCACTTTTGAGTTTGATCTTGTATTATGTAATCCCCTGTTTAGTTTGATCTTGTAGTGTTATCTAATCCAATTTTATAGGGATATCCAATTTTACGGTGCTTTAGGAGTTAAGAGTCTTCGGACCAAAGGGTAACTAGCCTCGTAATACACCGGTTACCGGCTTATTGGTAGAGTTTAGCCTCCTTTGAGGTCAAATGTTTAAACCTCATCCAGTTACGGGCCTAGAATTTTTGCTGACCGAGTGCACCTTTAAGGTGGATCAAAGGCCAGTAAAATCACCCGATGTGCTTTTAGCTGAATTATACCATTTCGACGGATTTTTAAAGTTTTCTGGTTGATTTTGAGACTTCTTTGATTTCAAGGGGGTTTTCGGTTTTTTGATTGATTTCAAGAGACTTTTGGCTTTTTTTGTTGATATTCTTTTTATTTTCTAATATCCTAGCATATCTTTCAAAATTCTAGCACTTGCATCTTTTCATATCCAAAAAAAGAATAATTTTGGATAAAAAGTATAATTTTGGGTTGACTGACTCCCTTAAGATAATTACCCATGACCATGCTATTTTGTAGATTATATAAAGCACGTACTCTATTTTTATCATATTTCTATAATGGGTGTTTAAACTTTAAAGTGGTAGAATCACACAAGGTGTACCATTTACCTTACCAGGTGATGACAAAAATCTAAAATTTTATTCAGTAAGAGACATAACAATGACTGATAGTCTTGTTTGGTTAGTGGTTATTGGGTAAGAGATGTTTACCAGCAATTCATTTTGATTACTAAGAATGTTACTAGATTAGATAAGCAAGGGTGGTGACTTTTGCCCGTAAATGCTTTCCTGGTAAACCTTTGATAAATGGTCCTTAAATTGTGTAACTTTACAAGCGTAAATATGATGCTGAGTTTTCACGTGTTTTTAAAAAACAAAGACATCAGCATATAAAATGTATTTTGTATGATATGTCTCAATAAGTGATCCAATATATATGGAGTTTATGGTACAAATATGTTTTATGCATGAACTACCTGAATGTATGAAAATGTGAAAAATATTTCATAAGTATGTCTAGAGACCAAATATATCAAAAGGTTAACAAATACAATAAATTGTAGGATTTACGAGTCTATATTGTTGTATTTGACCAGTCATATCTTCACTTGAATTTTGGTGATGAGGTTTTTCATGGATCGGATAAAATACAAGACCATTTAAAATTGTCTCGTTTGAATAAGATCGTTGCATCTGTATTTTCTGGAGCGTAGGAGCAGTAGGGGACATGCGATTTTTGCCGAGCAGTTGCACCTTTAAATGGATCAAAGACCAATAAAGTCGTCCAATGTGTTTTAGATGGATTCCATTTTTCCAATTATTTTTTATGTTTTTAGTTGATTTTGAGACACTTGTTTGGTTTTTTGGTTGATGTCCTTCGTACTTTTTAATATCTCGAAGCACCTCTCAAAACTGAATATGTGTACTTTTTATACCCCTAAAAGAACTCTACTTGTGAAAATCAGTTGAGCATGTGTGCGAAACCCTGCTAGGGTCTTGATAGATCCGCCCCTCCCTAAAAGATGAGTACCATATTGTTAGAAAATCTTATTTTATACCAAAAAGTGTATGAAACAAAACTATTGGGACTAAATTTGCATTTTACAAGAAGTCCAGGGTGAATCTCTGTAATTTATTCTCTCTAAATCTCCAGTCTCCAATCACGGGTACGGTGGGTTATATTTTCTTTTAAAAATAAAATAGGGCGCTAATTCTCTTAAGCCACCACCACTGCCCAGTGCCGACCGCCACCGCCACCGCCACCATTTCGGAAGCTTCATCTGTGTGGTATTCTGCTTAAACGAATCTTCAAGCCTGGAGAAAATGTCAGTTTTCTACGTCTATACACTTTATTTAGTACCGATCGCACAGACAGTACTTGTCCTAATAATCTAATTTCTATCATTTATCACTAGGCTTGTGTTTTTTGCATCTGACTTTCTGAATTTTGAGTCTGATGAGTGTTACTGAGTTGATTTTGTATGTTATGTAGTACTGGAGACTGGAGTTGGTCTATTGAAAAGAATTGTACAAGTTATAGTATGGTTTTAAATGTGCAAGAGTTGTGGTTTTTGTCTGTCATTTGCATTGTGGTCATTGGATTGGATAAGAATTTGTTTATAGCTTGCAATCTAGTGTTGAAAACTATTTGAATCTAGCTATCTATTAATTGATCGATTTGGTTTTAGATTTAAGGAAATAGATATCAATCCTTATTTCAAGTTGTAGTTCATTAGAGTTTAGAAAGACGATGGTCATAAGATTCTGGTTTGATATGGTTACTAAATTGGTAAGGGGTTCCTTGAAATGTTAAGTCCTTCTATCTGCCTCCAGAATATATTCTCTCTCTTCCACCTATTAGGGTTTACTTTGCGAAAGAACTTGTTCCAAAATCGAAGTCTCATTTGTAGTAAAATAAGCAATTCCCTGAAGTTTACACCTGGCGATCTTTACCTTAGTAATTGAGAAAGTTGGGAAGTGGATCCTTATTGTTGAATGGAAAGCGTGTTGGTGAAGGAATTGCCATTTCGTAGTTTTAAATGACTCGCTGAATTGCGACCTGTTGCTAATATCGATCACACCACACTCGTTCCAACCCAGAAAAAGGGGATCGAAACGAGCAGAAAATTAATCGAAATTTAACCCAAGATCCAAARATAACTCAACCGAGTTTGTAATGCGGAAACGGTAAGTTCGAACGTGCTCGACGGAAACAATAATCAACCAGAAAAAATAAACGTAACTTGACGGAAATAAACAAGAGAGAAAACAACACCGGATATACGTGGAAAACCGAAAACGGGAAAAAAAACCACAGGCGGAGGATACCACCGAGAAGTCCACTATTATCGATTAATGTTACAATGCTTGAGAAACTGGAGAAATCGATGAAGAAAATCAGATCTAATGCTAATCTAGATCTCTATTCTAATTGTTGGGAGAGAGTGCTGCATGTAGGACGGTTTTTTAGGAGTTGAGAACATCATATATATATATATATATATATAGAATATTGAGAACAAGATGGATGGTGTGGCTGAAAAGCAGCCGTAAAACATGCATGGATGTCACCACTACTTCCATTTAAAATGGATGGTATTGGAGAACATATTTCCTCTTTTTATGGATGGTATCATGAGCATCTCCACTTATTTGGAGTCAGTCATTTTACAATCTCCACCTTGACTCCACAATTGCATCATCCTCAACAAATATCTTTCTCCATGAAACTAAGCTCCAACACAAGCTCCAAGAAAACATCATCAATAACATATATAGTGAACTTAAACATGACTTCTCGAAAGTGGATTAACAAGTACATACCTCCTCCGCCAGCCCTCCACGGGCTACTCCAAACCACGGATTCCGACTAAGTTTTTAAACAAATCAAACTTAGCCGTCGGAAGAACTTTGGTCATCATATCGGCTGGATTAACATGAGTAGAAACCTTCCTCACGTTGAAGTCTCCTTTAGCAATGACCTCTCTTATAAAATGATAACGCACATCAATATGCTTTGTGCGCTCGTGGAACATTTGATCMTTTGTCAAGAATATGGCACTCTGGTTATCACAGAATACCGAGTCCACTGTAAGCTCATCACCGTTAAGGCTTTTAAACAAGCCTTTAAGCCATATCGCCTCTTTAAAACCCTCGGTAATAGCCATGTATTCAGCCTCAGTTGTAGAAACAGCAACCGTTGGTTGAAGAACGGCTTTCCAACTGATGGCACACGACCCCATAGTAAACACATACCCGG